AGGGAAATTATACAGATGTGAGTAAAAATAAAATTGAGACTAAAAGAACTATAAAATAAAAATTAACAAATTAAAAAGATGGTTCTTCAAAAGAATAAATAAAGTAGATAAGCCCTTAGCTAGACTCACCAAGAGGAAGAAAGGACTCACATTAATGCAATTAGAAATGAAAAAAGTGAAATCACAGCAGACACTGTCAAAATCCAGGCAATAGTAAGTAATTCAAAAAAATATATTCCAATAAATTATCCAATTTTGAAGAAATGGACAGTTTCCTAGACACATAAAACTACAAAAACTAACCCAAGAAAACATAAATATGCTTAACAACCTAATAACAAGTAATGTAATTGACTCAGTCATAATGAATCTACCAACTAAAAAAAGCCCAGGACCTGATGGACTTACTGCTAAACTCTACAAAACCTTTAAGGATGTTACATCATCAATACTCCCAAAGCTCTTCAAAAAAATTGAAAGGGATAGAGTGCTCCCAAATTCATTTATGGAAGCCAATATTGCCCTGATCTCAAAACCAGATAAAGACTCAACTAAAAAAGAGAACTATATAGGCTAATCTCTTTAATGAACATAGATGCAAAGATCCTTAACAATATATAAACAAATAGAATGCAGCACATTATCAAAAGGATGGTACATCATGATCAAGTGGGTTTCATCCCAGAGATGCAAGGATGGCTCAACATATGTAAGTCAATAAATAATTAAGTACAATAAATTAGTTAACACAATAAATAATCAAGTAATTTATCATAGAAACAGGAGCAAGGTCAAAAACCACATGATCATATCAATAGAAACAGGAAAGCCTTTTTGACAAAATCCAGCACCCCTTCATGATAAAAAAAACCCTGAAGAAAACAGGCATAAAAGAACCGTATCTAAATATGACATTGACCATTTATGACAAACCAATAGCCAGCATTATACTAAATGGGGAAAAACTAAAAGCATTCCCCCTAAAATGAGGAACAAGACAAGAATGTCCACTATCACCTCTTCTATTCAGTATAGTACTTGAAACATTTGCCAGAGCAATTAGGCAAGAGAAAAAAAGGGATACACATAGGAAAGGAAGAAGTCAAATTATCATTATTTGCAGATGACATAGTGCTCCACATAGAAGGCTCAAAGAACTCCACCAAAAAACTCTTAGAATTAATAACCAACTTCAACAACATAGCAGGATATAAGATCAACACACAAAAGTCATTAGCATTTATGTCCACCAATAATGAACTCAATGAAAAGGAAATTATGAAAACAATGTCATTCACAATGGCTGCAAGAAAAATGAAATATCTAGGAATTAACCTAACCAAGGAAGTGAACAACCTCTACAAAGAAAACTACAGTACTTTGAAAAAGGAGACTGAAGAGGATATCAGAAAGTGGAAAGATGTCCCCTGACAGGCAGAACCAAAATTGAGAAAATTGCCATACTTCCAAAACTGTTGTACAGATTCAATGCAGTCCCAATCAAAATACCAACAGCATACTTCACAGACCTAAAGAAAAATCCTAAAATTTATACGGAACCAGAAGAGTTCTAGACTAGCAAAAGCAATTTTGAGCAATAAGAGAAAAACAGGTGGTATAGCAATACCTGACTTCAAGCTATACTCTAAAGCAATAGTGATCTCAAAAAAAAAACAACAAACAGCATGGTACTGGAACAAAAACAGACACGTTGATCAATGGAACAGAACTGAGGATACCAAAACCTCCCCAGACATATTCAACTATTTGATCTTTAACAAAGGGGCCAAAAGCATATGTTGGTGGTAAGATAGCCTATTCAACAAGTGGTGTTAGGAAAACTGATTATCTGCTTGCATAAGAATGAATCTGGACCCTTATATCTCACCATATACTAAATTAAAATCAAAATGGATCAAAGACCTAAACATTAAAGCAGAAACATTAAACGTTCTGGAAGATAAAATAGGTAAAACATTTGAAGACATAGGTATAGGAAATGATTTTCTAAACAGAGCTTCAGTCACACAAGAAATAGCAGCAATAATCAACAAATGAGATTATATCAGACTAAAATTTTCTGTACAGCAAAAGAATCAATCAGTAGAGTGAAGAAACAACCTACAAAATGGGAAAAAAATTTTGGCAGCTACTCTTCAGAGGACTAATATCTGGAATATACAAAGAACTCAAAAAAATTAATCCACCTACAATTAAAGACCCAGTAAAGAAATTGGCAAGAAAAATAAACAGACACTTCACAAAGGAAGAAATACAAATGGTCAACAAATATGTGGAAAAATGTTCAACATCACTGACCATTAGAGAAACGCAAATTAAAACAATTCCAGGGGGCCGGGGATTTAGCTCAGTGGTTCTGCCACTGTTTGATCTCCCGTACCAAACAAAACAAAACAAAACAAAACAAAACAAAACAAAACAAAAAAATGCTAAGATTCCATCTTACTCTGGAAAGAATGGCAATCATTAGGAAATCAAACAATAACAAATGCTAGTATGGCCATGGTGAAAAAAGGAACACTCTTGCATTGTTAGTGGGAATGCAAACTAGTACAACCATTATGGAAATCAGTATAGAGATTTTTCAAATAACTGAAATTAGAAAATCCATATGACCCAGCTATCCTCCTTCTATGTATCTTCCCCAAAGAGTTTAAGTCATACTACAGTGATACATGAATACCAATGTTTATAGTACCACAATTCATAATAGCTAAATCCTGCAAAAAGTAGCCTATACTCAGCAACAGACGATTATATAAAGAAAATGTGATATCTATATATAATGGAATACTATTCAGCTATAAGAATGACACATTTAAGACATTTGTAGGAAAATGAATACACCTTATATGCCATGCACAGGAAGCTAGTAACCCCAATTAATGTAAACACTATATGCCATAACATGAGCTAAGACAAAACAAAACTGCCCTACACTTAGAGTTATCTCTAAAAGCAGAAGTGTAGGGCAGACTGAAACACAACTGGTTGAAAGTGTTATGAAGACTGTTTAGAGCTTACTCTTTCCTTCAGGTAACACCCCTCAGCTGCTGCCCCTGCACACTGCAGAAGGGTAGTTTTATTTATATGCTGAGAGATCTGCACAGCCAGACTGAAAGCAGAAGGACTTGGGATCCATCTCTATACCAAACAGTGAGATGCCCAGACCCCCACACCTTCTCCTATCCCTCTTTCCTAACAACCTATAAAAAACTGAAAGACGAACTTCTAAATCTCAAGAGGTAGATAAGAGAATTATTTTCTGAGGGTCTCCACGATCATTGGATTACCAGAGGTTAAAAATACAGGCATTCTCCAAAGAAAAATCTGGCTCCCCCACCTTGTGCCCTTCAGTGAAACTCACCAGTCATCAGTACCTACCCCACAAAACAGACCTAAAATTTTTGAAAAAGTCAAAGGGTCACTTTCTCTACTAAATAACAAAACATATAATAAATGACAAAATTAAAACAATATGGTCCCAATAAAGGAAAAGAGAGTTCATTAGAATGGTATCAAATGTCCAGAAACAGTCTTGTGAATTTAGTACTCTATTTGAAAAGTTTGGCTTTTCAAACTGGTGAAAAAGAATGGATTGTGATTTGGTGATATTTTAGAAAAAGTAAAAGTTTACCTCACAATATTCTCAAAAGTAAAGTCCAGATCTGATAATAAAGTAAGTGTAAAAACTAAAATTATAAAATTAAGTACTAGAAGAAATAAAACAAATGTTGTTTCAATCCTGGGATAGAGGAGGAGTCCATAAAACAGATACAAATCTAAGAAGCCATAAAGGGAAAGGCTGATATATATGAATACAAATGAGTTGAAGTCCTGTACAACAACCAAAAAATCATAAAACAGATAACAGACTCCCCATTCTGGTCACCATGGAGTGACTCAATTAACTATTTTGCTGTAAGCAGCTAGAAAATTGGACAATGGACATGAAACAATTGTTTTCAGACATTGGACAACAGGCGGAGCAAACTGTAGAGAAGCAGATAGGTGAGCCTAAGGCCACATAGGCTTTCTTCCTGGAGGCTCTTTCCACAGTGCATGGCAGAGTCCTAAGCAGGGCATGACATTCTCGTTGTGCTGAGGAAAGAGAAGTGCAAGTTTGGGGAGACTGAGAGCTTTGGAATTTGGTAGCAGAGCATGAAGAGGAGGGAGCTATGCTGAGAAAGAACTGTGGGATTCTGGATAGGATCCCCTGTGTATGCACAGGTGGGGGCCTATTACAAGCCTGGCACAGAACTGCTCCAGAAATTCCCATTCTAGGTTGAAATGATAAATGGAGACCACAAGAGGCTGGAGCCAGAAATATGGATCTGAGAGTTAAATCAAGATGAGATAGGGCCAGCCCACAGAAGAGAAAGAGAAATAGTTTGTTGAAGTGGTTTAAAAGGCTGGAAAAATCCACATCTAGCCCTATCTGCACCCAAAGGAAACCCCAGGAACAATGGGGTAGCAGGAACTTCTTGGGACCTTGTACCCCTTATGAAGTCCCTGTAGTTTGTGTTAAACCTCTGTTGTTTTCAACAATGTAGCTAAAAGTTATGGCCCGTAGTAGTCTGTTGCTGGACACAATACCCAACCCTTACAACTTAGGTTTAATTGGCTCACATGTTCAATTTATCCTCAGCCGGCTCCAAGGCAGAAACATCATGGAGAAGGACGTGGAAGAGCACAGCTGCTCGTTTCATAGCACCTGGGAAGCAGAGTAGGGGAACAGGGCCAGAGAGAAACAGGCGAGGGACCATATTAGGACCCAAGGCCATGCCTCTGACATGCCCAGACACACCCAGGAGCATGCTTTATTCATCTGCTAGGCAGTTCTTAATCCAATGAAGTTGACATATCCAGATTAATGGCCACTGTATGCTTGTTTCAGGACAGAAGGAACACTGAGGGAAGGAAAGGCAATCCAGGGAAAAGCGAGTGTTATAGCCATCACAGGAACAAGCAAACACAAGTTTGTGTTCATTAAGTGAGTTTTTATTGAAGACCTGCTGTCTCATAGGCTTGTGCTGGTTGCTGATGAAAAACAGAGGCACAGCAAGGCTCTTCCCTGGAGGAACGACTGATCCCACTGGGTCACACGAGGTGAATATGTTTGAAAGGGCTAAATGAGAAGACAAGGCAGGAAACAAAAGCCAACGGAAGGCTGCAGATGACAGGTTGAGTTCCATGTCAGGGAGGAGGGTACAATACTGCAGCCAGGAGGGACCCACAGCTCTGGGCTGCCTCAGGCCATTGCCAGGCCTGTTTTCTTCTTGCATACCCACTGATAGGAGTTATTGCAGTTTATGTCGTTCCACTTCTTCTGAATATGGACGCAGTCTTCAGATTGCCCACTCCCATGTGGCCAGTTGTCTGGTTGATTCTTGTCCCAAAACCTGCAAGCAACAAAGCAAGTGTCTCTTCCCCCTATAAGAGCATAAAGGGCCACCCTTCATCTCCTAGTAGCTCCAGGATTGGGACAGGGCTGGAGCCAGAGATACCCTGAGAGTTGTTCTGCTGAAGTGTCCCTAAGTTACTGAGGATCCAGGGCCAAAAAGGAGGATCCTATGTGCTGCAAGCCCCTACCCTAGAATTTGTACTCAGATGCTTTCCAGTGGAGGGCTGGGTCCCTTGGGATCAGGTCTGAGTAGGACATAGAATAGGAAACAAACAAAAAAGCAAGAAGACCCACTCACAGGCTGCACCACGACCAGTCCTGGCATCTCTCTGTGGACATTAAACATACCATACACATCACATATACACACCACACATACTGCATACATATCATATACTATGCACATTACATGCTACACACATCACATACACATTACACACCACACATACCACATACACATATCACACACATCATAAACACACATCACACACCACACACATATCACATACCACACAATACTACATATATCATACACAGAGACATGACATATACCACACATACCACACACATGTATTACACACATCACAAACACACATCACACACTACACACATACCATACACCACACGCACAACACCAACACTAGGCAGGGATACACACACAAGACAGGCACTTACAAGAGTCTCTAGCCAAGCCTGCCAAAGAGAGTGCCTGGGACAGTGCCAGACAGTGGCTGGACTAACCTTTTGCTCTGGGCATTATTGAATGGTGTCCCATCTGTCCAGCGCCAGGAGCCCTCAGTACCCCTGTCAGTGAGGCCGATCCAGTAGTAAGAGGTACTTGTGAACTGTACCAGGAATGCCTATGGAAAAGGGATACAGTTGTGCCTGACCCTGTGTCAGAGAGCTGGTTCTGCAGGCTTCCCCACCCTGGTCCCACAGCATGAAGCCCATCTGCAGGAGCTGGGCCCTGCCCTGCACCTTCCAAGGCTTGTCCAAGACCTAGAGCAACACCAGGTCCCCTCAGGAGAAGCCCAGCTTCTCCCATGTTGACTGTTCCTACACAGTCCCTGCCCTTCATGGAGAATGTACCTTATTGGGACAAAGATAGTCCCAGCTGAAGCTTATTGAGATATGTTTTACAAAGTAGCATGCCCTTCCACAGCCCTGTAACAATAGTCAAGTGAGCGACAAGGAGAGGACAGTTCTGTAAGTTAAACTGAACCAAACTTTTTGTGGTCCTTTGTTAATAACCTGGCAAGTTCTGATAAGGACCTTGGCATGTGGACTTCCTGGGAGCACACTGCCTGTGATGGTCCTCAGAATCTGGTGTATGTCTAAGTATATGTCTGGTACCCAGGGGGTGCACTCAAGTCTGCTGTTCCTGAGCCTTCCACAGCCACCTGGTTAGGTGACATGAAAATCAGGATTGATAGCTAGAAAGGAAGCCTGAAGAAATCAAAGGCATAGGAACATTTAAGTTCCCTGATATTTAAGACCTGTCACCTGGTGCTAACTTCTTTTGCCCACCCTCATTTATTGAGGATGTGGGGGCTTACTGTCAGTACTTCCACCTCAGGTCAAGGTACTCACTGCAACTCAATAAATATTTGCTCTCTGCTCGACAAAAGAGACATGGAGGTCTCTGATCAAGAGGGGGAGGGCCAAAGCACCCAAGTCCCTTACCACATATAAAGTCCATCAGCCCCAACCCACACCTGCAACTCTGACCTGCTCCTCCTGAGAGGTGACCGATGCCAGGTGGGCTCCCTGGGACACACAGAACTGCTCAGCTTCATGCCAAGGCTTCTTGACATGAGAAAAGTAATACAAGTTTCCCCCATACACCTTCCAGCCTTGCAGGAGCAGCTGGAGAAGTTGATCTGGAACAAAAATTGGGGAGAAAGAAGTAGAAGCTGATGGTAGATGTCCCTAAGCTGATCTTTCTGACCTGTCCCAGTGCCAACTACTAAGGTTCACAAGCCCAGGAAATTCTTGATGCCCAGTGCTTCAGGAGCAAGGCCTGGGAGCCTGTACCACCATCCCACTACCCATCCTTTGGGAAGCAGCCCCAAGACACTCACCTGTCTCAGTCCCTATTGGGAGATTCACTCTGCTACCAGTCAGCACTGTTTCCAAATACCTTTCCTTTCTCCCAATTCACAGGGAGAGTATGATCATTCAACATCCTTCTATCTCCATTACTGTAATCTTCCTGGGAGATTCTCATAGCCATATCACAGCCTCCCTCATTTCTTCACTTCATCTCCATCTGCTTCAACTGCCCAGCCCCATGGCCATCCTGGTCTGCCTGACCTCCAGACTCTTAAGAACTGCTCCTTTGAGCTCAGCTCTTTCATCCCTCCCTGCCAGGACATTCTGCTCTCTGGCATTATCTCTACCACAGCCATGTAGAGTGGAGCTTCCTGGGCTCATGTACTCATCCACTTGTTCTCGCATTCCAGGTTCAACATTCTTTAATATTAGTCTATGAGTCAGAAGCCATTATACAAAGATCATTAAGACATGATCGATGCCCTCGAGGAACTTAGAGTCTAGTAAATGACACAGATGGGGAAAAGTTGTTGAAGATGTATTGATTTAAAAACATGTGCCAATTACAATAGAGACATGAAAGAGAGTACAGTCTGTTTCCCCTGGGAGGGACATGTGGCACAGGAAGAGCATCCTCCATGAGATTTCACTCAGACTGAGTCTTGAAAGACTGAGGAAGACTTTTCCAGGAGGTCAGTGCCCAGGAGAGCATTCCAGGCAGGAGAAAGTTTGGGCATCAAAGCAGAAATGAAATGGCATGGTGCAAGGTACCAAGTAACTGAGCAGATGACTTATGATCATTGTTTAAGGGTTGAGATAAAAATAGACAGGTTCATCAGCACTAAATCACATGGCCCATGTGAAAAGTTTGGATATTTTCCCCCCATGAGCAATGGAAAGCGTGAAGAGGTTTTAAGAAGGATCATAACAAGCTTAGACTTCACTGTAAAAACATTCTAACCTGGTAGCAACTGAATAGGAAGAAGGCACTTCTTATCATGCAGGACATCAATTATAACACAAAAGCAAATGTCTCAGTAAGAGACAGTAGTATGTAAACAGGAGTTCCCCAAATGTACTCCAAGACTGGCCATATCAGCATCATCTGGGAACCTGGCTGAACTGCACATTCTCAGGCCCACTCCACCCCTGCTCAATCTGAAATTGAGTTTAACAGTATTCGGTCCTATAAGCCGTCCAGGTGAGTCTGATTCTCTCCAAGGTCTAAGAATCCATAGTGAAAATCAAAGATTGGCAAACGGCAGTATGCAAATGTCATAGCCCAGAAGCCTAAAATATCTATTATTTGGCCCTTTAAGAAAAAGTTAAATCAGTGGTTCTTAGCATGAAAGCTATTAGAACCACCTAGGAAACTTTTTTTTTTTGTACCAGGGATCAAACTTGGATCCTTGTACTTGCGCAGTACCTAGGAAACTTTTTTAAAATCCTGAGGCCCAGCCTGCATCTCAGACCCCTACTTCCACTCAAAAAAAAAAAAAGAGGGTTGGAGCTTAAGCTCTGGAGAGCTTAACTTTTAAGCTCTAGGTGATTCTCCAAAGTGTTCCAAAAAACGTAGGGCAACCCTCATCTCTACCATACCAGTCAGAAGCCATAGGAGGGGTAAAAGAGAACAGCAGGGCACTTGGAAGGGCAAAGGGAAACGGGAGGACTTCCAGGCCCCTCACATACTACACACAAGACAGAGTACCAGACAAATGCTGGAAGCTCTCCCTCAAGCCTCCCTCATTGGCCCCATCTCTTTGGCAGCTGTTCCAGCCATATCTTCTCTCCCAGCCGCAATGTTCTCCTTACCCTTAGCAAGTAGCCTCCTACTCTACCCTGAAAGAGGCCCTACTAATGGCAACCCCTCTGTTTCTGTTCACACATCTGCACAGCAGGGTGAACCACTCTGTCCACACCCTTCCCCACTGCAGCTAGGCCAAATTTGGCCCCACCCTTCTCTTCAATCCCTCAACTGTGCATTTCATCCTTCTTCCCCTCCTCCTCCTCTTTCTTCTTCCTCCTCTTCTTCTTTTTCTTCTTTACTCCTTCTTCCCCTCCTCCTCCTCCTCCTTCTTCTTCTTTTCTCTCTCTCTCCTTCTCTCTGATCTCCCTCTTCACTGCTTCCTTTCACTCTTAGATCAAGCCTATCAGAATCCACAAAAGCCATCCCAGGGAAGTTCACCAAAACATTAGCAGTAGGGTCAAATAGAAAATACAGATATTTTCTTGGGAACAAAGTGGTTGTTTTCTCATCTTTCATTTTTCAATATTTGCCACATTATTTATATTTCATATGCTGGTCTCCTTCAAAAATACCTCTTCCCATCTTGCCCCCAAAGGTTGACTTCATGTTTCCACCCTCAGCCCATTTTTCACAGTACATTCTGCCTCATGTAAATTCCCTCATTATTGCTACAGCCAGAACCAACATACCCAGGCCCACCAAATCTATGTATGCCACCCAGCCTCTCTCCTGAACTCTAGCCTGTGATGACATCCTTGAATCTCCCAAAGCATCCCAGACTCAGTATGTCAAATCTAGAACTGAGTGCACCCATTCCTCTTTGATTCCCTGTCTCAGTTGGAAGGCCATATAGTGAGCACCCTCCTTACAGCCCTGCAGCACCTCCTCAATCCCTGGGATAGGAGAGCCAAGCTCAGAGCCACTTCCTGTCTCCCCAAGCCATCTAATCCTCTAGCACAGTGTTTTCAAACCATACTCACCAATCCATTAGTGGATTGTGACAAGCTTTTTAATAAAGGATAGATTGAGATGCCTAATCACCCCGCTGCAGACAGGCAGGTCTGCCCATGCCCTACCGAGGTCCTGAGTTGCACAGAACACACCGAATCAGCCCACTGCAGACAGGCAGGTCTGTGCACGCCCTAACGAGGTCCTGAGTCATGAGGAAGATGACAAATCACCCCGCTGCAGACAGCCACCTGATTCCACACTACAAAGACGCAGATGACACCAGACCACCAGACCAAGGTACTGAGTCCCACTGTTCCCGGCCCAGAGGTAGGGGCTTCTGAGCCGTTGTACCACTGCTCCTGGTCCAGAGGAAGGGGCTTCCAGGCCACCATCCCTCCCACCACTCCCAGCCCAGAGGGAGGGGCTGCTGAGCCACCATCCCACTGCTCCTGGTCCAGAGGAAGGGATTTCCTGGCCACCATCCCTCCAGCTGCTCCCAGCCCACAGGAAAGGGCTTTTGGGTCACCATCACTACCACTGCTCCCGGCCCCTGCCCCACCTCACCCAGCTCAGAGGAGGCAATCCATGCAGGCGCTAACAGCCCCCCACCCTAGTTGAAATGAGAAAACACGTAAATAAGTCTCAAAACCAGGCTTCCAGATCACCTACAGCAACCCCAAAGGGAAATGAGATGGAACACTCTGATACTCAACCACCTGGACCCAC